CTCACTGTCCTCACTGTCCTCACTGTCCTCACTGCCCTGAGGAGGCCTTCACTGCCCTCACTGTCCAGAGGCCAGTTCTGCTGAGGTAATGGTATGGCAGCATGGGTGAAGTGGCTGCTCTGTGCTCTGTACATTTTAGTGACTCGGTTTCTCAAACTACAAAGCGCATGAGGAGCCTGGCTCTGTTGCTGTGTTTGTCTCAGGTGACCGGGAACAAGTTCTGCAACTCCAACAGCTCCTCTTTAGCTGAGTGACTAGATTTACACACTCACACTCTTGGGAACCGTGGCTATTGAGCAAGGCAGAGCACCCAAGTGTGCTGGCTCCCTATGTCAGGTGACACTGGCTCGGTCAGCTGAGCAGAGGGGGCCTCAGTGGGGACAATGCCCCAACCAGACTGGCCTGTGGATGACTGACGAGGGGCAGCCTAGTTCATGAGGGATAAAGCCACCCTGGGCCGGCTGTCCTGAGTGCTCTGAGACAGGAGGCTGGGCAAGCCATGAGGAGAAAACCAGCAAGCAGTGCTCCCCTTAGCCTCAGGGAGTGCTCCCCACAGCCTTGGTAAGCAGTGCTTCCCCACAGCCTCAGGAAGTGTTCCCTGTGGCCTCAGGGAATGCTCCTCCACGGCCTCAGGGAGTGCTCCCCACAACCTCAGGGAGTACTCCCCGTGTCCTCCATAAGTAGTGCTCCCCTGGTCCCTGCCTCCAGTTCACTGCCCTGGGGTCCTGCCCCATTTGCTCCCTTGGTGAGTGAGTGTGAGCTCAGAGCTGTGAGCTAAGATAACCCTTTCCTCCCCGAGCACGGTCGTGCTGCTCACAGCCGTTTAACTAGGACAGTGATGAGTGTAACTGGAAGAGGAGGAGCCTGCGCGGGAGAGAGCACGGGGCACCGTGAGTGCGCACTTGGTGACGTCAGCACTTGCGCTCAGGTGCTGACTACCACGGCAGCACACTCTGCACGGTGTTCTCTGGAAACAGACCGCTCCCACCAGCGCCCCGCCACAGGAGGCCACGGAAGGACACACACTCGGGGTGCAGAGGAGGGGCACTAGCAGGGCGCCTCACCTTGGCGAGCTCGGGCAGGTAGCTATCCAGACCGGAACCGGAACCCTCCAGCTTGCTCTGTTCCTCATCTGAAATGGCAAGAGCGATGAGCTGACCCTAGATGAGGCTATCTCAGCTGGCCCCTAGCCTAGGCTGTCTCACCTAACGGGCACAGGAGCATGAATGTGCACCCCCAGCCACCTAGGGCCACGGCCAGGGGGTACAGCGCCACATTGAGACCTTGCACAGTTACCCCACACCCCCCACTGGAACCTGTGATGCCCAACCAGAAGCTTCCGGGGGGTCATCTGGAGATGAGCCAGGGCGGGAGATCAGCTCAGTGTGAACACACATGGAAAACATGGGGATCTGGCCTTGAAAGTTCCAAACAGGACACCAGCAAGGGCACCGTGCGGCTTTAAAGATGGCCCTGCCAGTGTCCGGAGCTACATTTGTATTATTTGCTTGAAGACAGCATGTCACGTCGCCAGGCTAGCCCTGGACGTACTCTGGAGCTAAGGACGGCCTTGGACTGTGATGTCCCCAGGTGCTGCAGGCCCCGGCTGTGCACAGGGCTGATGTACTGCAAGGAAGGGAGGCTTGGGCCCCAAGCCTCACACTCCACCCCCGGGCCGCAGCCCTGTCCTTATTTCCGTCTTCAGGTGAGACCCGAGCCCGGGGCCATCACCAGTGTGTCCCAGGTCACGCTGACACACGGCCAGGCCTGCCTCCCTCTGTCGCTGTGGTTCCTGCCGCCCTCGCCCCACACGAGTGGCCCCACGGCTCTAATGCTCACTGTGCGGCTCCCGGTCAGCTGGACTCGCTCACACTCACTGGGCCGTCTCCCATTCGGCCTGCTGTGGAGAGCCACCGCACGGACCCTGGCTCACACTCCCCGTGGAAGGCTCTCACCGCCCCTGCACACACTCAGAAGCGCCGCGGCCTACCGTCGTGAGGGTCCCCGTTGCGCCTCTCCTGCACGGCGGCCTCGAAGTTGAGCTGCAGGATCTTGTTGAGCACGGCCACCCAGTCCTCCATCTCCGCCTCACTGTCCGCGGCCAGCAGGTAGCTGCTCTTGTCCTGCATCTTCAGCTCAAACGCAAAGCGCCGCACCCTGTTGTTCTGCGGTAGAGACAGGGACACTGTATGCAGCCCAGGATACCCCTCTCTACTGTCAGCTCAGGACAGCCCACCCTACTGTCACAGCTCAGAACAGCCCACCCACAGTCAGCTCAGGACAGCCCACCCTCCTGTCACAGCTCAGGACAGCCCGCCCTCCTGTCACAGCTCAGGACAGCCTGACCTACTGAGCAATGCTGCTATCTTACACAGAGCCCCCTCAAGGCCACCCCGTCCACTTCAGCCTTCCCAGCTGAGAGCCACCCACCCGCTAAGAAGGTTCCCTGACTTGGTTTATGTACATGAGCGCCTTTGCATGAATGTGCGCGCACCCTGTGTGTGGCCCATCCTCAGGGAGGTCGGAGGAGAGCAGCAGATCCCCGGAATTGGAGCTGCAGGCGTGAGCTGTGTCTGTGCTGGGAATCAAACCTGCATCCTCTGGAAGGCACGGGCCAGAGAGGTGACTCCGTGACTGAGGGCACTTGCTGCTCTCGATTTTTCTAATTTGGACATTTATTTTTACTCTTTTAGTTATATTACTGTGTGTGTGTGTGTGTGTGTGTATGTGTGTGTTTGTGTGTATGCACGTGTGTGTGTGCATGTGTGTGAGTGTGAATGAGTGTGTGCACAGATGCCCTTGGAGGCCAGAGGTGTCAGATTTCCCGGAGCTGGAGTTTCAGACACCCCCGAGCCACCTGACCTGGGAGCTGGGACACACATTGTGCTCTCAGCCCCAAGTCCCTTTCTGTCTACCTTTGTAGCACTGGCCCCTGCAATGGTCCCTGGGGAACAGAGGCTGCCCATCCTCTTTGTCACCCCCACAATCCTTACAAAGGACCCCCACAGCAGCTATGTGAAAACTAGCCAAGTCGAGAAATTTCATTCAATTCAGTTCTCAAAAGTGTGTGCCACTTCCGCTTTCCTAAAAGCCAGCTTCTCTCTACCACCCTGTTCAACCTTCCTATCTGGAACTATGTCCTCATTCATCAGTCCTAAAACTAGTGTGTACTTTTTGTCTCCAGCTCGCACGCCCAGTATGGGATGGAAGATGAACAGGTGTAGACTGAGGTTGGTCCACCTTGGTGCTGCCCACTTGGGGACGTCACGCCGTTCTACAAACTGCATCCTGGCTTCCACCTCCCACACGTCAGCGGCACAGCTCCAGTCAAACATCTGCTGCCACCGACAAGTCCTGAAGGCAAACAGCCCAGGCTCACACTGCACAGGCTCAGCTCTGAAGCATGGGCCACGCAGGCCAAGGAGGAAGCAGCAAAACCTCCTACTGACTGCCATGCCCCAGCACCCGCTGAAATCTCAGTTCCAGAACGCGTGTCCCATGCCAGGCACAAGACAACCCTCCAACAGCCCGCCATTTCTACAACAGTTTTTACGCTAGATGTTTCTCTGAGCAAGGCCACACAACTACTGTGCACAGGCCGTCCGCATAGGCTCAGCAAGAGCCACCTCTGGTCTTGCGTAAATCAAAGGTAGGAATCAGTGGCGAAGTCCGAGGCTGGGAATGGACTCAAATCTAAAGAGTGTTAAAAGTCAAGGGAAAATGCTAGGCCTTGCTTCTGAGGTTTCCTTTCCGAGACCCATTTTCCTCATCTGCAGCTAAGTCCAGTAGTTTTAAGTTACGTTAGGGTTTAAGAGTCTAAATTCTGTCTTTCAGGTCTACCTCTAAGTTTTCCCCTTAGGTGTTTTTTTCAGTTCACAGGAGCATTCTATTATTTCACCATTCCACTATTATTATAATAACAGCTATTGTTTTAAGTAGCATCCAAAGAGGGCTGGGGACTAACGGGGTTACAGAAGTGGAGTGGGAGAGTAGAGAAATGTGTTAACACAATACACACTTACAGCAAGATCTCCTTGTGGAACACAGTACCATGTACAATAAATATACATGACAAAACATACAAACTAAAAAGTAAAATCCCAAAGTATTTTGTTTTCCAAACCACTTGAATCACAGCTTTTTGATTATTTTACTGTTGTTGGAGACGGGGACTCATGTAAACCCGGCTGCCCTCAAACTCCCTCGGCAGCCAAGAAAGACTCAAACTCTGGGACTCCTACCTTTACATCCTGCATGTGAGGATTTCAGGTGAGGGAGACACATGCGTGTGCTACCCCAGATGGGCTTTAGGTACAGGTAAGCATAAAAAGAAAATTATACTTTTGAAGACATGCAGTTTAGCAGATGAGAAATGCTATGAGCTACACATGCAAAAAGAATCTGCAGGGACAGACTGAAGACTGACCTCAGAGTCGGAAATATACCCAAGATGTAGAGGTTTGGTGAGGGCTAGCCAGCTCACTAACACCTGTGCACTGCGGAGAACATGAAACAGGACACTCCTGTCAAACACAAAGAATCACTTCCTACTTCAAAACAAGGCTGGAAAAATGCATCTAGCTTTGCTTTCAACTATGCCAAAAAATTCAGCTAAAAAAAAATAACTCCAAGGTTTCTCAGTTCACACAAATGAAACTGAAGCTTGGAACAGAAAACCGATCAACTGGCATTCATGAATCACTCTGATGCTTTTTATTGACACTGTTAATCAGCGTGCGTTGTCTACTTGGATTGACTGTGAGTCACACTGTTGGTCTAGGCACAGGAGCTGCCGCTGGCAGAGAATCCACCTGACTGGCTGTTTGCGGAAGACACTTTTTCAAGGAATGTGAAGTCATGCTACAGTCTTGACCTGGGGCTCGGATAATGGTTTGTGGTCTGGGTCCTGCCCTGGAGCTTACGGGTTTCCAACAGTTAAAGCTCTAACTGAAATGCTGTGTTCCTGCTCTTCTAGACGCCAGCAGTGCTCATCCAGGCTCGCTGCAGGAGGTGCTTCCTCCACTCTCACTGGCGGCAGGCAGCTGTCCGGCCCCTAGCAGTCCCCCCTGCCGCATTCCCTGTGTCTGCTGGCGCTCCCTTTCATTCTGCCCCACCCCCAGGCTTCTAACTGGGAGTGCTAATTTTCACTCCTGACCAGGGTGAAGCTTAATTGCCGGAGCACTGGACAAAACCGATGAAAACAATCTGCTCAGCCAAGGCAAGCATGGCTGTGAGCCACAACAGAGGAAAAATAGATGAAGAACAATGGACTCAGCATCTGTATGGGGCCCAGAAGAGGGACGCGAACATGGCGCCTGCCAGCTCCCCAGAGTTCATGGAGACCAGAGGCTAGGACACGTAGGAATGTGTCTAGGATAAGACCCAGGTGAGAGCGACAGGTAGACGGACATTGGAGGGGTCCCCAGGTTTCACGTTCGTTACATCTCTATTTTCAAAATTGCAGGATGGGATCAGGGCCAGGGAGGCGGCTCAGCAGCTAACGGCAGAAGCCTCATAAGCCTGGCAAACTGCACTTGTTCCCAGAGCCCGTGTAGTGGTAGAAGGTGGAAAGATCCACCAAGTTTCCGCTGACACACACGCGCTTGGTACGGGTACGGAACCCCTCCTATAATAATCATTCTTTTTTAATTATAGAGTGATCACAGCAGTCACAGCAGGAAATGCACCAGACGCCCCTCAACTCCTAAATGGTGTTGGGAGGACACCGCAATGCTTTTGTGTTTGTGAGGTCAAAGAACTTCTTAAGATTCCTTAAAAAAAAAAAAAAAAAAAAGGAGCCAAGCACAACTAGAATAAAAGAAATTTCAGACAGAGTAACTCCAAGTTACCATCACATCAAGTTTCTTAGGCAAAAACTAGAGGGTTTCTCCTTCAAAATAAACACAATTAAATCAGAGCAATAACAGAAAGAAGAAAGCAGGGCTGAAGGTGTGGGTCACTGGCAGAGCGCGCCCAACACGCCCGGGCCTCCTGGCAGCACAGAAGGCGGAAGCAGCAGACCAGAAGGTCCAGGCCACCCTTCACTTGTTCTGAGGCCGAGGCTGCAGGACAGCCTGTGTCACGGGGAGCAGAGACTCCGGTGAGGCGGGTAAGGAGGAAGGGTCCCCAGGTGCAGCTCTGCAGGGTGGAGGAAGTCCTCAGCAGAGTGGAGCAGAGCTGAAGCTGGAAATGGCTGCTCTGGGGGAGCCAGGATGGAGGTGCAGAGGTGCAGGGGTGAGTGAGGGTGAGTGAAGGGTGAGTGAGGGGTGAGTGAGGGTGACTGAGGGGTGAGTGAGGGTGAGTGAGGGTGAGTGAGGGTGAGTGAGGGTGAGTGAGGGTGAGTGAGGGTGCGCTGTAGCCCTTCCTGATCGCAATGAGGAGCACATTCACCAGAGGATGAAGTCGGTAAGGATGTAAATGCCTGACGAAAGACCTGTGGCCAAAGCAGAGGGCCCGTCCCTGCTGTGTTCACGGGCGCCCCAGCACCAACCTCTCAGGCACTCAAGCTCAGGCCAGTTGGAGGAGGCTCTGCTGAGACGGAATGGTGTACTGTCTGGCAGAAAGGGAGACTGCTGACTGGTCACACAGCCCCTCTGTCTGAGGACCACAGAAGTGCATTCATGCTCGGCACTCTGCGCTCCCTCGGGCAGATTCTGATGCCCAGGCCATTTGTGTGTCCACACCCTGTGAACTGTGACATGGGACAGCCTCCACGTTAGGATGTGGGCATCCCAGGCCGGCTTCCAACCTAAGATCCCCCTGCCTCGTTCTCCTGAGGACTGGGATTATAAGTGGGCATGCAAACCCTATTTTAAAAAACAAAACTTCATGCACTAGAGAGCTCCTGTACCACAGTGTCCTGCCACCTTCCAAACGAAGGCAAATAAGCTTTGCTTTCAGGTTGTGTGCCGTTTCTACCGTCGCTACAGCCATGCTTGGAAGCCTTGGCCCGAATCCACTAACCCATGCGCAGAGCCCCGCAGAGCAGGGAACACTCACCTGGATCACACCCATGCAGGAGTCTAGGAATATGGAGCCTTTGGGTTCCTTGGAGATCTTCTCATCCTTATAAAAGTTTAGATTATAGGACCCATCTCCCAGTTGAATCAGGTGGAAAAACCGCCTCTTAAATGACTGAAAAAGAAAAGCCACAAACAGCTTTTTTCTAAGTGGACGGTGGACTGAGAAGCCCTCAGCTCTGAGCGCCAGCCAGCACTCTTCGCGCCCATCGAGACCCTGGCCCGTGCTCCTGGTGGCCAATCGGCTGGAGGAAGACGCTCACAAGCACGCCAAAGTGCCTTCAGGCTTCGCCATCACCCAGAGCCTGGGCTGTTAACACCATCACCCACAAGTGGGGGGAGGGGAGGTCCATCTTCAGGGAAGGCCCAGGAAGACACAGATGTTCTGGAAGCCCAGGGCCCCCTACTCACACTGCAGGGGCTATCTTCCGCTCGGGACCCAGAGGACTTCTGAGCCTCAGGGTCCTGGCAGTCAGTACCTCCGGGTTCGCATCTCTGTGTTCATCTGACCCTCACGATTCATCCTGCCCTCTTCTCCACTTCTTATACTACTTTACTTTCTGCTTTAATTTTTAAATTAAAGTATAAAGTGTCTGTGTGTCTGTGTGGGGGTGAGCACGTGTGAGTGCTGGTGCCTGTGGAAGCCAGGGGTGTGGTGCCCCATAGCTGGAGTTCTGGCCAGTTGTGAGCTGCCTGACTGGAGAGCTGGGGCTTGAACACAGGTCCTCGAGAAGAGTGGCAAATGCTCCTAGCCCTGTGCCTCACTCTTGCTTTTCTCTTGGTGGCCTTTAGAGTTCACCATCTTCCTTTTGACCCTTACTTGGCTTTACTTTCACAGGGCACTTCCCACAGGAGTGCTTAGTTTACCTTACAAGGCAGAGAGATGAGGTTTAGACAGGGAAGAAGACCCCGTCCGTGGCAACCCCTCCTCGGCCTGTGCTCAGGGGCTGTGAGGGCAAGGAGGTGTTTGGGCCGTGGCGATGGTGGGACCTCACCAGGACAGCCCTCAGGAGCCAGGCCATCGCCCTTCTGTGGGGACCTGAATGTCCGTTCACCTTGCGTGGTACCCTAGGCCCCAGAGGAGCGGTGAGCATGGGTTAAAGCGCAGCTGTCTTACCCTCATGGTCACGCTGATGGCGCTGTTCACGTTGCCCTTGTACAGCCAGCCGTGCTTGGTGAGCCCGCCCTTCTGGGACCCAAGGGACGCGGCATCCTGGGAGACAGAAGAGCACACTTTCAGTCGGTGCCCGTAAGGGGAGGGTTGTCTGTGAGTGACGCCAACGGGAAGACCACGCCATCTGTGCCATGGTAGGCAACTGGCACTTTAACAGGACTTCAGGCCTCCAGGCCGCGCTCACGTCCATTTACCAGTGGGGGAGAAACGAGCCCACACTTCTGGGACTCGTGCTCTCTTGAGGTCAGGTGAACGCTCAGCCAAGTTTCCCCTCCTCCCCACACTCCACTGTTCGGCCTTTAGGAAAAACCTTCTCAAGCTACACCCCTCCGAGGTTAGAGGACAAAAGCAAATTCTTGAAAACCTTCCCAGGGGCCTGGTTCAGGGAGGGGTGAATAAAGAAGGAAATAGAAGACAACGCAGAGAGAAGAGATAGAGCGACGGGGAGGGAGAGAGGCAAGAGCTACTGCTGCATACTCAAACTGAGACCCATGGGGGCTAGCTGAGAGCTGGTGGGCACTGAACCCTCCTCAGGCATGTGGCACACGCATGTGCAGCCTGCAGTCTGCACGCACAGCCATCAACAGCCATAAATGTGGCCCAAAACAAAACTGTTAGGTTACCTGAAACTCTCTGGGTTCTGTACAGAGTGGAGGTTATAGAGACGACAACACAGGGCCATAGCAACAAGGGCTGGACATGCCCAAGAGACCACAAACAAACAAAGGCAACTCGGCCTACAAAGGTCTTCCTGCCCCTAAAATCAGCATCTTAAAAAATAAAAAAATAAAGACTGTGCAGCCCTGGCTGGCCCAGAAGTCCTTACAGAGACCAAGATGGCCTCAGAGTCACAGGTGTCCACCTGCCTCTGCCAGTGCATGCTGGGATTACAGGTGTGCCCTGTGAGCTCCCAAGCTCAGCAGTGCAACTTTTCTTAGGACTATTTAAAAAACAGGTTTCTACTATTAACGCTTCAAATGGTTAATACTGTGCTCAGGAGACAACTAAACTCACAACGGGAGGATGAGGAATGCAGGGCCTCGTCAGGGCCCACCCTCTTTGCACACTCTCTAAGGCCCGTCCAAGAGTTGGGGAGCTGGCTGAAGCCAGACTGCACTAACACAGCCGCTGGGGAAACAGCCTCATCCCGCGCTGCCAGCAGAAGATAGCCTGTTGGAAACAATCTAACTTTAAGGGCCTGATCTCCTTCAACAATGCAAGTATTGTTGGGCCTGATCCAAGCCTTTGCAAGTATCTCAGAACAAAAACACAAGGCAGAGAGCACGAGGCACTAAGCAGTCATGAAAGCACAGGGCTTTAAGAGAGTCAATCGGAAAATATATCCAAGGAAAAACTCTTCCTTTGCTTCATTAAACGTCCCAAGTCCTGTTTGAGCGCTTCCCTCAAGCCTGTCCTATCAGCGTCTCAGGGAAGGGCTGAGAGCGGCGGGAGCCCTACCTCATCCTTGTCCGCTTCCTCATCGACTTCGTACACGTGGACAGGGAGCTTGTCCAACCTGGCCGCTTTGCTTTAAAAGGAAGAGAGAAAACTCGCTTTGTCATTGCCTACGAACAGAGCCCTTCTCTGTCCCTCAGAGGGACCAACCCACAGCACGCCCGGGGTGGCCACTGGTCTGTGCCACTGCTGATCGAGTGGGTGCGCCAGGGCTGCAGTCACAGCTCCACACTACAAATGCACCGCTGGCTCAGCGAGGAGGCCGCACGCAAGCGGTGGGCACGAGGAGAGGACCCGGGGGGCAGCTTCTAACATGAAACACGACAGAGAAATGAAGTGGGAGTCACAGAATTTTAGGAGACTAATGATGGAAGGTGATGAAGGGGTTAATGGCGGGCCGTGCCAACCACAGTAACAGCAGGCACTCCAGTTATGTGAAGAGCTGTGTGCCAGGCACACTGTGCGCTCTGCACACGCCCTCTCACTCATTTAAGCCGGAAGGAGCTGTTCTAACTCCTGAACAGGAGATGCTGAGGCGTACAGAGGGCAAAGCAACCCGGACACAGCCCAGAGTCCGCGCTGCTAACTACAATGCTCCACTCAGTTAGAAACTCTCACTGGTGCTAAATGGTAAAATCATCCAACAGCTAAAATCTACCCCAGAATAGACACACAATACGGGTAGTTATGTGTCAACCACAGAGATAGCATGAGCAAGACAAGGAGGGAGAGTAACTGGATCTGATGGGAATGATCTGCAAATCCCCGGTGAGCGCTGGGCAGCCACACAACTCGGGAACCCATCCGCAAGGGAGATAATGATAATGCCGGCAGGGTGCTCCCTGCTGCTTCAAAAGAGCCGACCAGGATGCTGGCTGGACACTCTAAGGAGGGGCTGACCACACACAGGAAAACAAACAGGGAGGGCACTGAGAAAAGTACACGAGGGGCAACGTCTCACAGCCGGGGCAGGCCGGAACCCCGTGCTAACGAGGTTCACGTCACATCGCAGAGGTAACGTTTGCAGGCAGCCCCCCTCCACGGGCCGTTCCACCGCCCTCTGCCAGCTGTCTGGAAGGTGTTTTCTAACTGTGCTCGCCCTGCCGCCCTCTGTGGCAAGCCTAACGAACACGATTGCTTTTGCTCTGCCTCAGGACCAGCCTAAGCGTCAACAGAGCCAGGGAACTGACCTGGGAAAGACTGCATCCGGTTTACTTCTCTAAACAAAATGTATTTACTATAGCTCTCTTCACATGGTTCTTTTCCAGAATACTCTTTTGAAGAAACACACGCACACACCCCTAGGTATCTGTCAGTGGGTGAATAAGTACACACATTTTTTTCAGCCCTAAAAAAACAACCCAGTGGAACTGGAAATATTCATATCACAGAAGTTATTCCAGTCTCAGAAACAGAAACACACACTCTCTCTCTTGGGCCTAAATTTTCCACAGACACTTAAAATCACGAGGTACAGAGGCCGTAACAGAACGTGCCTGGTGGCATGCGGACGGGGGGGGGGGGGGGGCTCTCCTCACTGACAATGTAACGATTCCGCACACAGCATTTCAGACCGGAATTCAGCCGCACGCACTCTCACAGGTCCCCTGTGCCGGCGACGACCCGCACCCCGTGCCCTCGCCCCGCCGGCGCTGACTCACCTGGGAAGCTGCCGAAACTCCCCGGAGTAGTCCTCATACTTGTAGGTCACAAGGTGCCAGTCGGAGTTGTAGGTTCTGATGCACTGTTGGGAGCACACGGAAAGTCGGCTGGGACGCCCAGGGACGCCTGCTGCCAGTCACTGACTCCACCCCCGGGGTCCCCCAGAGGCGTGGGGCCCCGAACCCCCGACTGGGGATCCCGGGAGGCAGGGTCTCAAGGGTCAGTGTTAACCATCCCGCAGCAGCATCAGAGCACAGCAGAGCAACAGCTAGACCGCAGCGCCGGTGCGCGCCTGCCTTTAAGAGCCGCCCTCACGGCATGCTGGTCTGGGTGGGCGCGGCCTCAGGCCCGGACATTTGTCCCCTGTCCCAGGCCTGTTTGGGAAGGCTGAGGAGGTGTGTCCTGCAGAGGGCGTGTCCTGCCAGGGGGCGTGTCTTGTTAGAGGATGTGTCCTGCAGAGGGCGTCTTGCTAGAGGGCGTGTCCTGTCAGAGGGCGTGTCCTGCCAGGGGGCGTGTCCTGTCAGAGGGCGTCTTGTTAGAGGATGTGTACTGTCAGAAGGCGTGTCTTGTTAGAGGGCGTGTCCTGCAGAGGGCGTGTCTTGTTAGAGGGTGTGTACTGTCAGAGGGTGTGGCTCATACTTGTGAAACAAGGTCACTGCTGAAGGGCCCAGCCTGCCCGCCAGGCTCTCCACCACGATGGTCGGGGACGCACAGTGGGACCTGCTCCCTCTTTTAAAGCTGTCACTCCTGTCACTCACTCTTGGCCACGCTGTCCTATCACAGCAAGCTGCATACAGTTCTCTGTGTGCGGGAACGCACACGCCCCTGTGCTCCTGGAGAGCCCGGAGCACAGCGTGGCAACTCTCTCCTTGCACTCTGTGGGTGTGCAGAAGCAAACTCAGGGGAGCAGGCGAGGCAGCAGGAGGCTTTACCTGCTGAGCCGGTTCACACCGTGTCAGAAGAGGACCTAGGTCTCTACTGGGGCGTGAAAGCAAACAGCGTGAGTGAGCCTAAAGGGCACATCTGTGCCACTTATTACTGACAGAACTAGTGCTGTTGCTGGCTGCAGTCAGTTAACTGTCCATTTAACTTTGTGTGTGAGCAGCACGTGTGTGAAGGTCAGGGAGCTGTGGAGCTGGCTTTCTCCTTCCGCTGTGGACCCCGGGGTCACACTCGGGTCACGAGGCCCCAGACGCATTTCTAAAGGAAGAAACCTTTCAAGAAGCAGAGTTACAGCAACAAGTTAGTGTCCTCTTCCTCAGAGGGTCTGGAGGACTAAAGAAGAGCAGAGGGAACCACAATTACATCGCTGGTGACGCCTCTTTGTCAGATTATTTGTGTGTTCAAACAAGAAAGAGTGACTCTGGGACCCAGGCAGGGTGGCGAGGGTGACTCCATCACTGGGTCCTCAAGCTAACAGCAGCGAAGCCCGAGAACCTGAGGCGTAGTGAGCATCGCGGGCTTCCACAGCCGCTGAGGCCTCAGAGGCGGCTCCTGACATTTATGGTCGCTCTGCAGACACCCTGCTGCCCTGTGCTCTGAAAACATCCACCTTGGCGCTCACCACGGAAGGTCACTACCTCTGTGATGGCGCTCACCACGGAAGGTCACTACCTCTGCCACCACGCAGAGAAACAAGGGGAGTGTGGGGAAGGAGGAGACATCTTTCCAACCCGCCTTGCCAGGAGCTCACCTCGGTGACAAACAGGCTGTGCGCCTCCTGCTCTGCGTTTGCGGGGACCGTGGATCTCGAGTGCCGGCCCTGGCGCCTCAGGATGGCTGTCTGCGGAAGAGAGCAAGCAAGCTGGTGAAGACGGCTGCACAAGCAGAGCTGGTGTAGACACAGCTACGGTGCAGCTCGCGGCCCTGAGCCCTCTGCATGCCCTGCGGGTGAGCGCAGCTGCCTCCCCGCTGCCCACAGGAGCTGCAGGCTGGCCAAGTGCCAGTTACCAGAGGCAGCCGCACCGCGAGCCTTCCTCGGAAGGGCGGGGCCCTGCTGCTTCGGGCTGCAGCTCACCAATGCTCCAATTTACTAGCTGACACCTGACAACTGATGAAAGCGCCGGGTTCCTCAGGCCTCTCCACGCTGGCACGCTCTGACCCCCTGGCTCAGCCTTTCTTCCCGGACTCCTCACAAAGCAAACCAGCAACAACAGAACCCTCTAGACGGCAGAGCGCCAGCGACACCTGTCCCCTGAGCACGGCTTGCCTCCCTCCTGCCCCGAGCTCCGGTTCTGTGGACTAACAGCACGCTTTCCTCATTTACCCAGGGATCTGCAGGGCAGCTCTGTCACAGTGCCACAGCAAGCAAATCCCCGTTACCCCTGCGCACGCCAGCTTAGGTCCCGAGGGTAGTTCTAGTTCATGCTGCCTTCCTGGCAGTGCTAACTCACAGTCCCACACACTATGCTGGGTCCATGCCCCTCAAACCCTCACCGCCGCAAGTTTAACCTTTCCTCTTTGTAGACTTATTCTATCTTATGTGCAGGGCAGGTTTCCTGTGCATACATGTGCGCCACGTGCATGCCTGGTGCCCGCAGAGGTCGGAGGAGGGCACCAGGCCCAACGGAGCTCAAGCTCCAGATGGTGGGGAGCCACCGCATGGGTGCTGGGCAGTGAACCTGGTCCTGTGCAAGAGCAGGAAGCACGCTTGCTCGCTGAACCACTTCTCCTGGCCCTCCTCCTCCTAACGCCAGCCGCTGACTGCGGTGGGGACTCTCCACCCAGCTCGCATTTGTCCTCCATGACAGCCCCTTAAACGTGGTTTCCATGCATTTACTGGCCATCTGTACTTCTTCTTTTGAGAACTTCCGAACTCCTTGTCTACTTATTAACCGGAGCATTTTGTGTTTAATTGGTTCAGCGCTTCACTCTGTGGGCGGCTCATCACTGCTAGCTGTTTCTCTTGCTGTGTGGCTTCCTTCAGAGCCATCTGTGAACTTGCTCTGTGCCACTGCCAGTCAGTCAGCCTCAGATTCTAGTCTTCCCTGGCTGCTTCCCCACGCTGCTCCTGCTTCCCCTGCATTTGCAGGGCTTTGAGACTCCTTGTAGCCCATGTGCAGACTATGGCTTCCTCAGCACACGAGGACGTCTGTGTCTCCGTCCTCCACCCCGCCCTGTGCGGGTGAGTCCCCATACACTGCCTCCAGGGAGCGTGTAGGCTCCTGGGCCTTGTCAGTGAATATTTCAAACAAACAGTGGCCTGTGTTACAAAGCTGTTTTCAAGAAAGCTAGCAAGACAGATGAGCATGAACACGGGAAAGAAGAGCACGCTGTTCAAGACGCCTCGGCACATGGCCCGTGTGCCCAGACTGCAGCAGCTGTGACCCCGACCGCGAGATCCCGTGTGCCCAGATCCTCTGTCGCGTGACCACGACAGGGGGAACTGCCTACCGGGGCCCACGCACCCCGAATGAGCGCACTCTGTGGCCGCGGACACCACACTTCCTCAGCGTGGCTCCCCGGCTCTTTCTGCGTCTTCAAAGTCTCACTCTACGTGTCGGGCTCAGCCTGTGGCTCCTCTGAGGAAAGACAGCTGTGACTGGGGTCACCAACCCCACTGCCCAACGTAACAGCAGGCAAGAAAGAGTGCTGCAAAGCTCCCGGCAGAGCTGTGAACCCAGGAGCCTGCTGGGTGTGACACTGCCTAACAGCACTCCTTGTTCCTCAGCAGCGAGCAAACACGCTCAGTAGCTCTGTGGAATGTTTTACATACAGGCCAGGACACTCTCCTTTGAGAAAGAAAACAACTTTAAATCAACGGAGACTAAAGCCAGGCGTGGTCATTCTCATCAGTAACTTTAGCACAGAAGGCAGGAGGATTGCTTTGTAAGTTCAGGGCCAGACGCACACAGCGCCGCAGAGGCACTGTGAGAGGCTGGGGGAGGGTGGCTGAGGGTAGATTCTGAGTTGGCTTCATCACCAGGCACTGTGGTCGATTCCGAAGTTCCTGACTGACTCTGAGCAGCCACTTTGTGTCCAGACAGAAAAGTGCTCAGCACCTGAGACCTCACTCAGAGACAAACCAACCATAGCAGGGTCGGCGCCTCCTCAGAACTAACTGCAGTGTTAACTGCAGTGTGATCCTTGGCATTTCCTGAGCAATGTTCTAGCAGGTCCCTTCAGGTCTGCTCTAAGCTCCAGGTGGCCAGACCCCCACCCTTCCGCTCCTACCAAAGGGAAGCCTGCTTCCTCTTCCTCTGAAAACAGGCTGGACCAACAAAATGTAAACACGTGGTTGTGCGCCTCCCAAGGCAGCGCTGAGGAAGACAAGCACACTCACTTCCTCTTCCCCAACTGAGTGAGCATGAGTGGAAAAGCCCGCATACACACCCAGACACACACACACACACACACACACACACACACACACACACACACACACA